CAAGTTTATGTGATCCTCAGATGTGTAAGAAAGGGAATATGAAGGAAAAAAATGTATGTGACCCTTGCTTCTACACATACGGTTGATGAAACCGAATTTAGAATATGCCTATACCTAAAGAAGATGTAGATATCTTGGGGGGAGTTCTGGGTAGACCCATAAAAATAATTCAGAGGCTGAAAAACTCATCTTCTGATGAGAAGCGTAAGGAGTTCAGTCTGTTCATCTTGCTGAAGAGAGGGTGGAGGTGACTTAATTACTAGCTTAGATACTTGCACATGAAGAGATATCTGATAGTGGGGATGAGGGGGAAGACAGTTACACAGACAAGTTGAAGTTAAATAACCTTGAAATAAGATTCAGTGTCCTAGCAGTAAGGGTATGTGAAATCTGGAATAGCTTCTTAAGGAAAATGGTGGACTCACTATTGCCTGGAGTCTTTAAAATGAGATCAAATTTCTTTCTAAAAGACATACCTTAATCCAGGTTCATATGCAGGATATGTGACTGGCTGTTCATAATGGTCCCTTCAAGCCTTGTAGACTTTGAACCAAGCCCCTGCCAGGCTTGTCCCTGAGGCCAGACACCAGCTTGGGCAGCGCCTTAGCAAAGTGGGGTCAGGGGAGTGAGGATTAAAATCTGGGTGGGCATGGGACCTCAGTCGGGATCTGCCCAGCTTTCCCCCCTGCTCTTGCTTGGGTGGCGTGGGGTCTGGCCAAAGCCAGCTGGCATGGCCCTGCTATCCATCCTGTGCTGGGGCTACAGGGCTGAGCTGAGCTGAGCTGGCCTGTGGGTGCTGCTGAAGGCAGAGGCATAGGGGCAGCCCAGGCTGGGACCACAGGAGCTGCATGGCCAGATTGCTCCCAGCTCCCGATGCCTGAGCCAGGTAGGGCTGTCATGGAGCCCCAGAAAGCTGGGAAGGGCTCTGCTGGGCCAGCCTGTTCCCCTCTTCTCCCTGCACCTCCTTCTGTATCTTGAATCCCTGGCATATGGTCAGGCTGGGCCAATGTTTCTCTGTGTTCCCGCGAGCCACTTCAGGCCACATGGGTGCAGTTGGCATGGCTCCTGCCTGACCCAGCTGCATAGTGGAAACTTGAGTTTGGGCAGCAGCCATCCCAGCCACTCCAGCTGTGCGCAGCCTCAAGCGGCACGTAGGAATACAGTGCAGCACTATGGTAGCAGTGCCCATACCCCTACCAGGCCCCGCCCTGGCTCAGCAAGGCCTGGATAACCCACAGATCCTGACCCTTTTCCCTCTGCGCCCCTTTCCCTGCCAGTGGGGAAAACCTTACCTGAGCTTCAACTCACCAGGGGCCAAACTGTCTGGTCTGTGAATGGTGCAGGGTCGTAGCTGCACACAGACAACCTACAACAACTTCAAATTTCTTGGTTTTTCAGTAGTTAACATCTCAAGCTTTGGCATTTGTATAAAGTATTTTTTCTTATGTAATAAAATAATCACTGACCATTGCTAGTAAGCAGCCTACAATAGATTTTCATAAGTGTATACCTCCAAAGCTGCACTAAGGACATTCTCAGTAAGCTGGCACATTTGTAGTAGCTATATACAGACAGCTAGCTTTGGTAAATTGTTAATAGTTTCCTTCCATTATCTTTCAGATTTACCCACTCACACTGGGCACCACAGCCATCCCTGGGTTATAGTTTGTTGAAATTGTCACAGCCAATGCAAACAGTTACAAACAAGGGAAGTTAGA